TGCAATTCCCTACTATAGCTACCTCTGTAACTCTTATAGGGTCTATACTCCTATACCTACTCCTATAATAATTTTTATTCAGAAGAGGCCAATTATGGCTGACATAATTTAGCACTATTGTAGTCTGAGATAGTGATAGATATCTGAACTACTGAAGCAGTATAAAAGAATACACAGAGAAGAGATATAAAAACAGTACTTACTTTATTATATATGCTTGCAAGTAAATGCATTTATTCATTTTGATATAGATGTACATTAACACAATAAAACACAGTACAAGTCAACAAAATAAATAAGGCAGCATGTAAAGCACTCTAAATAGGAAAGGCAGTATAAAAAGCTAATGAGGAGGAAGTAGTTCCAGAATTTGGCCAAGTATTATAAACAGGAAGCATTCCATTTGGAAGCAGCCACAACTGGGATAAAAAGCAGTACTAGAAATTTTGGATACTAATATTATTAAAACTATACAGTACTCATAGTATTGATGTTGTGGTGAATCAATCCATCTATTTATCCATCCATCTATCATAAAATTTTAAACTGACATTAGAAGAAAATTAGCTTGGCTAATAAATACTCAGTTTATGCATTGCATGGAACCTTAATTATCAGATTTTAGTAGAACTTCTGAAATGTATTCAGGAGGATAAATGTAACTTCTTTCAGTGAAGGTTGATATAGGGCCAATTCAGGGAGAACAGTCATAGCAATGTAGCACTTCTCCTTTTGATACTTCTATTGCCTGCATAAGGAAATTTCCACTATTGTAGCTGGCATCGGCAGGGTGTTTTCATTAGCAACAGGCCCATAAATGAGGCACCTGCAATTGTGGGAAGCCTCAGATTCAGTGATTTCAAACTCCCTGCTTTCGGTTGGCAGCCTATGCCAAACTGATATAGGCAGAAAGCATGTTTCTACCTGACGGTTTTAAGAGAATAACACATTAAAAAAAAAGATTTGGGGAGATTTAGACGAGCATAAGATATTCCTATAAACCTTCTTACTCTGTGGGCTATTTTACAACCTGCACCACTGATGGCAGCGTTTGTAAAAATGACCAACCATTCCGATCTGCATTTTGGGGGCTTTAACTAAATACATTAATTTATTAGAAATTACTTCCCAGTTTTTTTTCTTTTTTAAAAAAATAGTGTTGTACAGTATTTGACATAAAAAAAAACAACCCCAACACACCCGTGCTCACCCAGTTGCATCTTTCCTGAGTGTATAGAGGGTATGACTGTAGTACCGATGCATATATCTAGCTTAAAAAAAAATCACAAAGCTCCATTTTAAAATAATAATAATAATAATAATAAAAGCGCGGCTATTTAAAACCGAGTTTAGACACCAGTGTAGGTAGGTAGGTAGGTAGGCAGACAGACAGACAGATAGATAAAAATGAGTTCGGTCCACGAAAGAGAGCTGCACAAGAAAGAATCCACCCCCGTCGCGAGCACTGGAACTCCGCCGGAGACCTTTTCCCCCACCACTTCCCTTCCTTTCCCACCACATCACGTGCAGGGACGGGGAACTACAAACCGACCGAAGGGCGACCTCACAGCTTCTGCCTCCAACAACCCATCCCCTCCCGTTTCCCCCCCTCCCCAAAATACGCACCTAACGCCCCGATACGCGCCTACGTTTCATTTAAAATCATGCATTTGTATTTGCAATTTGCACGCAACGCACAACAAAACGGGGGTCGGGCAGCTTGATTTCCTAGCGCGCGCGCCGAGGAGCGCGGCGGACTCTGCCCTTAGCGAACATGGCGGCGCCGGCATCGCCTCCTTTCCTCGGGCGGTGAGGGGGTGGGGTTTAAGGCTAACCCGGAAGGGGTGGCGACCTGGTGCTTGCTTGCTGCTGCTGCTGCTGCTTCTTCTTCTGGCTCGGGGAGAGGCGGCTCAGCCGAGCCGGGTTTTCTCTCTCTCTCCCTCCTCCTTTCCTTCCTTGGGTGGATCTAACGGGAGGGCGTGAGGAGCGGGCTTCCTTGCCGGGCTTGAGGACGGGGGAGGCCTGCGGAGGAAGGGGAAGGCGGAGCTGTCGCCCGAGGGCGGGAGCAACCCCCGGCCGCCTCTGGGTTAGGGTGGAGAGCCGCCTTGAGCCTCCCTCTCTCGGTCTCCTTGCGGCGGGGAGCATCCTTCTCCGGGCAGGGGCAAAGAAGAAGAGCCGCCGCCCTCCTCCTCCTCCTAGGGCTCCTGCTCGCCCTCTCTCTCCCCTTCGCCTCCCCACGCTTGTTTACCCGTCCCAGAGAGCTCGGGCTACGCCTCCGCCCCGGCCGCCTTCCTCGCCGGCGTCGCTCCTGAGCGAACTCTTCCCTTCCCCGCCATTGAGGGGGGAAAAAAAGCCCCCTCCGGTCTTTGGGTTTCCTCCTTCTCCTTCTCTCCGGCTCCGACTCTCCCCCTTCGAGGAAAAGTTTCCTTCCAAGGCTGCCGCTTGGCTGCGGACCGTGTTTCTTTGTTTTAAATTGATGCCATTTTCCTTGCCTTTTGGCCTGCCCGGCTGTGGCCCTCCTGTGCAAAAGCAGCCCTGCCTTGCCTCCTCCTCCCACCCGTCCGGTGGACTGGGGTCTGTGGCTGCTTCGTGTCTTCGTTTGCCATGCAAAGCGGGGAGCCCATGCCGACGGTAGCAGCGGCAGCAGCAACAGCAGCAGCTACGGTGGTTACAGCGATGAAAGTGTCGGAGAGCGAAGGCAAGCTGGAGACTTTCCTCCCGGCCCAAAACTGCTCCAGCAAATGCAGCAGCAGCAGCAGCAGCAGCATCGGCGGCGGTGGGCTGAACAACAGCCGAGGAGGAAGCGGTAGCAAAGTGTGGCAGTACAGGTAAGGTGTGCTGTTCACTGGAGCCAGGTGGGAACAGCAGCTTAGGAATCCGAAGCCGGCTGGCTGGCTGTGATCTTGCTTTTGTAACTGGGAGGGTGAGCACACGCACCTTTAAAAAGGATTGTAAGAAATGGTGACCATGCTTTCTCTCCCCCCCCTTCAAAATCCTACTCACATTATAATTTATAGGTCATGCTTCCTTCAGAATCTTATAATTTATAGGTTATGCTCCTGGCAGAACAATAAAGCCAGGAGAACAGCTTGCCTTCAAAGAAGTTATAGGTGCTCCGTCACTGGAGGCTTTTTTAAAAAAAGGCCGGACAGCCATTTGTCTGAAATGTCTATGGGAGATTCTCCATAGTCCAGGTCATAGTTGCCCCAAAGGTGCTTTTTCAAGAGGCAATTGGACTTCCTGGTTTTTCTTTGAAGAGCTTTGGGACAATTTGTCAGAAATGATATAGCCGTCTCCAGCTTGAGCAGGGGGTTGAACCACAAGACCTCCAAGATTCCTTCCAACTCTGTCATTCTGTTAAATGCGTTACTTTGTGCCTTTCTGGGCGGGGAGCTGTATTTTCAAAATCCTTTTTTTCTGAACCCCCAACAGGGGAAATGTATTGTGAACCCTTCAGTCCCCCGCTCCCAGTTCAGTCATGTCCAATTTTCAGAGACTGCCTGGACAACTGTTGTAGGTTTCTTGGCAACGTTTTTCAGGAGTGGGTTGCCATTGCCTCATTCCTTGGTCTGAGAGAAAGTGACTGAGTTCATAGTCACTCAGCTGACTTTGTGCCTAAGATTGGACTAGAACTCACAGTCTCCCAGTTTCTAGCCTGATGTTTTCACCACTGCCACTAACCAGGTTCACTTAACTTTCAAAGTTACTTTGTCTGTTTCAAAAATGAGATAATTAAAGCCAGACACAATTGGTAAACAGATAAGGGAGAAGCACTAGAGGAAGAGCAGTAGGACAGAGGGCTTTGACATGCTTCCCATTTCTGAGAATGAGTTTGATTTAAAATGTCAGAATCATTAGAGGAAGTAAAACTAATCTATTATAATCAGTTAACGCTTCTTGCTGTTGTGTATAGTGAATGTCACTATTCAGAGAGAACATTTGTATAAATATGTTGCAATATGATACATGTCGTATGTTTAATATAGTCATAGATGTTATGTGTTTAGGTGTGTTAATGAATATAGGAAATATAAACACATTGAAATAGTTTATAAACCTATAAGCTGTATGTATAGTTTAGGCTAAGTCACAATTTCTTCTAGATAATAGAATGATTGTTAAATTTACACATTATATAATTATATAATTATATATAACATTATATATTATATATAACATTCTCAAAATCCATCTCATCCTGGGAAACCCTTTTTTTGAACTATTACCATCTGGCAGTTGGTACAGAATAATAAAAACAAGGACAAATAGGCTGAAAAACAGCTTCTATCCCAGGGCAGTAGCTCTTTTGAATTCTGCTGTATAGTGCAGTGTTGGTGTGGTGTCGGGGGTTTCCAGTTCAATGTGTGAAGGGTGAAGGGTGTGCGTGTTTCTTTTCATGCTCATGGTCATGATGTGCACTGAAGATGGTGTTTGATTTCGTTGTACGAAGTGCAATGACAATAAAGTAAACTAAACTAAACTAAAATTATATGAACCAGAACCCAGTTCATTGGTTATGGTCATTATTCAGGACAGCTAATCATGGAGTTGTGATAGAACTGGAACTACTACTTGAGTGTATGTTTGTGAATCACCAAATCTGGCACTGGAATTTTTGAAGTAGGTCAGTGTGCCTGCTTTCAGCCAAAGCTCATTTTCAATCTGCATTGTTTATAATCTGGTAAGATGTAAATTTACTTTTGTGTAATAAATTAAAAGAATGAGTTTTTGTTTTTCCTTAGGAATGAAAGTCAGCTGTGTGACCTGGTCTACTAATTCTCTCTGGACCCAATACAGCTCATAAGTTGATTGTGGGGGAAAATAGGCAGGGATATTACTTGGTTCCTTGTACAAAATAAATAACAATATAATATATTTTTGTCTATTTTGAATGCTACAGATATGCCAATATAAAGTGCAAGTTTTACTTGTTGCTACATTCACAATTATGGATATTCTTCAATATTGTGTAATCTCACAGCTGTTTTGGGTATCAATTTACTATTTCTCAAATTTTATCCAGTTTAAAATTTAGCCATTCTATTAAACTTAAGCCAAAATTATTTTAAAAAGCATTTGTAATTTGATTATTTTAAACTATAGTGTGAGCATTTAAAATATGAACACATTAAAAATGCTGCTAATAAAATATTTTCAGCTACTGGTTAACTAGCATTTGTCCTAAAAAATTCTGATTTGTGTTAAACAATTATTTTCTTTCCTTCTAAATATTAATATATGCCCTTTTCCTTGAAGAGAAGAAAGGAACACTTGTCAGTGCATGACTATTTATTTCTAACTATTAGATTATTGACTAATATAGCTGTACATAATACTTCTCAAGTTTTATAATGAAACAAAGCAGATACTTTAAAACATATAAAATATTTTATAGAATATTAAATTAGCAATTAAAGCATGAAAATAAAGCCATCAACAATTAAAACACATTAAAATATGTTTTTAAAGCCTTTTAAATTGTCAACAAGGGTGCTTCCCTTTAGTAGGAAGTGCATTTTAGACAAAAGAGGTGACTGTAGAAAAGATGTAATTGAAAAATTGATCATTTAACATTTATGGACATCTATATGAACCAATCTATTCCAGTTGAATTATAATTTCATCAGAAGTTAAGTCAAATTAAAATGGTTAAAGAGTCTAGACTTTAATTAGCTGCTAGGTTTGCCTGGCTTTTGAATCAGTGCTGTATGCAAGTTAGTTGTAATTTCAAAATACCTATTCAATTAATTTTTAAATTGTAAGGTTGTTAAGATTACCATCATATCCACATTTGCTTGGTCCTACAAATCTAGCAAAAATTAATTCTGAATAAAAAGGAACAAGGTAATATTAAGACATGTCTACCTTTTCAGAGAATATATTATTCCCTCTGGTTTTTTTTTGTTAGATTTGTTGTTTAAAATAGTGGTGAAAGAATATTCATAGGAGATGTTGAAAAAATGCTGGGATACTGGTTTTATTATAATTTGGTCTTTCTACTACAGCATGTTGCTTGATTATTTGCTGTCAAGTTCCTCTTGATTCTTAGTCATTCATTTCTGCCTAAAATGGTTTGCAACATAGTACAAGTAATTACCAGTATCCATAGATTAACAGATACAATAAAAAGATTAAACCTATCAATTCAGTCAGCATCAATTAAAACAATACAAATAAACGGTAATAATTCATGGTTTGATTGATTGGAAATAATGAAAATTGAATAATTTCAGAAAAATTCTACAAAGGAAATTACCCCTCCTTGACAGCTATACAACTTGTCTATGATAGACTTCCCCATGGAGAAGAGACTTGAATTTCTTCTGTCTAGTTAACAATGGCTATGGGGAAATAGGTAATTTTCCACTGAGCCTTAAATCTCAGATGATTTATCATAAGCCATTAATTATTTCTTTATGTTAAACTACTATGTTTCTCATATAATAAGGCCGGTCTTATTTTTTTTTGAGCCCCGAAAAAATGGCTAGGCCGTCTTTTCGGGGGGTGACTTAATTCCTCCCCCCTTGCATCTTCGGGCGGGCGGGCAGCGATGGCTTGGATGTTGACCTTGGCGTTGGTGGGGCACTTCGTATCGGGGTCAACGCAAGCAGCACCATATCCGGGTGTGCAACAAAAGTACTTCCTAACGGCAAGTCCCCCCACGATTCCCCCCCATTTCGCATGTTTTAATATAGGCCTTAATTTGGGGGAGGGGCTTAATTTCATTTCATGGCTATAAAACATGCTGGGACTTCCTATTGGGGGAGGCCATATTGTTGGAGAAACAGGGTACTTTATTGAATTTCTGATATTGTGAGCTATCTGGGGTTTTTGTAAAAATAAAAGAATATCTCACACTTTAAAAAATATATATCTTCGAATAGTGAATCAGTTAGTGTACAAAATGGATCTAGAAGAATATAAAACAAAATATATACAATAAATTTCTGAAAAAACACAAATGTTTTTTACTTATAATATATGAAAACTATAAAGAAATAGTTGATTGTGCAATATTATTTATTGCAATATGCCCCAAGTCAACAGTGTAATGTTATTTTCAGTTCTGTGAAGATGATTCATGTTTAACTTCTCTGGTAATTGAAAGTCAGTTTAAGCAGCCTGTCAAATTTATCAGCAATAGGTGCCATTAAAGGGGGGGGGGGAACTGTTGTTACACTTGAATGCTCTAGACATGAGATTAGAAAATCTAAAACCATGAAGTCTGACACCCAACGAGTTCCTAAAATAGCACTCGGCATTTGCCTTTGATTTACATTTTGAGCAAATATCCCATGTGGACGACAAAGTTGGGGAGGGGGAAAATGCAAAAATAGATGTTTGATTTTTTTTTTTCTAGCTTGAATTCAAATGGAAATTACAATAGACTGTTCTAAATTACAAATAACTGTTCTGTCACCTTCAGGCATTTGAACACACATACTCCAAAGAGAACTGTAGGGGACCATAATACAGTTATATTAAACTTGAATCTATAATTTAATATCCTTTTGATAAGAAGTAGCTCTGCATCTACCTGAAATTGCATGACTTGTTGAATCAGAGAATGTTGAAAGAGAAGCTTACTCTAACTTTAAATTTTAAATAAAAGCCCATCTTTGAATTTAAAAAGATTGTGTGATGTTACAATTGTGCTTAGCACTTTTCAGGAGGACTGTATAGATGCATCCTATATAGTTGCCCCTAGTTACCAGTGGATATGGCTAAACTCACCAGAAACTGATTATGGGGAGGGAAATCCTTTTGTTTCGGAAGCAGAACTTTCAGAATCTGAAACCGTTGTTTGAAATGGATTTCTAATTCCTGA